TCTTTGCATCCATATGTTCTAGCATCCCATAATAACAATGTCCATGCAATCTGGGGTGGGAAACAATGTCCATGCACAGAGATAAATTAATAAGCATAACTGTCATATGTGATGCAAGGAAAGCAAAATTTCAAACAATACCAATATTTTTTTGCAGGTAACACACACAATATCTTCTTGTTCTGGCAAGGCCATGATTAACTGTAAAGCACAAAGTTGTAACTGAACCACCAACATGTCTTATATTGCGAACCAACCTGTGGTTAGATGGTTAGGAGGACAGTGGTATACCCAGCCCACCAGGGATCAAGTCTCGGTGCTCGCATTTATCCTGAATTTATCTCAGGATTTCCGGCGATGTGCCTTCAATAGAAGGAGACGTTTTCGTCTACTACGAGGCGTCAACGGTGATTTCGTAAAATCTCAAGATAATATGTCGGTTCAGTCTTTCATCAATCCTCATAGAGGTAGGATATGCGTGTGTGCATTCATAAGGATGAGCGTATGCATGTATACATGAGCGCTTGTGTCTGTACCGTGTTAAAAAAATAGATCTTATATTTAGGAATAAAGGGAGTAATATTGGTGCTTGCAGTACAGTGTACAAGTAGCATGCAAAAATAATACTAGTGTTGAAGTATCCAAAGATAATGCTGCATACACAAGATGCACGGTAAAAACCCCTCAATTCGAAGAAAGAACCATAAGATGCACAACAAAGCATGTAGTGTGTTTGGATTATCGTTGAACAGAAAATAGGTTGTCTCTTCTGCCCTTGAAACCAGGCTGAGCCCAACTATCCTTTTTTAAGCTCAACTGTCAATTCACAAATTGTCTCAAAAAATCTGTCAATACCCTGGGATAGTAGATATGAGCAAGGACAGCATGGATCACCCTAAAGTCGGTGTTTCCTACTCGACGCTCTCTCCAAATCCCATTCGGCGCCTTCAGCGTCATTTATAGATCTTTTCACACCCTCCCCCCCCCCTCCACCTTGGGCTCGACCCATTTATCTTTTTTTCCTCATCCACTACATATCGTGCACTTCCTGGTCGACCGGTCCACTTTTTTTCACCGGTTCTAGGAACTTTCTAGAATCTTTAACTGTCTTTTTCAAGTGGTTTTCCCACGGGTTTTTTCCAGGATGATTTTTTATACGGTTTTTATTTCTATCAATTCATGATTTTTTTCCAAAATTTGGAAACTTATTTTATAAATTTGTGTTTTCTTTCAAATCCCCTATTTTTTTCCAAATTCTGTGAATGTTTTTCAAATCTTTGTGATTTTTTTAAAAATTCGTGAACTTTTCCCATTTTTGTGAACATTTTTAACTTCCTAATTTCCCCCCAAATTTCGTGACCTCTTCCTGATTTGTTGAACTTTTTTTCTTCAAAAAATGCCGATTTTGTTTTCAGTTTTGTGAACCTTTTTCTTTTCCTGAAAAGTAGACGACTAACTCTTCAGGATCAACAGTCAATGATTGATTGGTCAACTGGTCAATGATTGCTGGCGGCTGGCCCAGCAGTGACGATTTTAATCAAAACACAGCTGGCCGGTCATTAAGGCCCTATTTGGTTCATAAGTTTTAGGACTTTTTCTAGTCCCAACTAAAAAGTCCCCTTTTCAAGTTACTGTTTTCCAGGCAAGTGGATGAAGTTTTCCCCTAGGCGATTCTAGGGTTCCACCTATCCTCCGGCGGCTACCACCGGAGTCCACGTAAATCCCCCACGGCGGCCGGATCTTTTCGGCTAGTTGGGAGCGCAACACTGCCAGGCGTGCGGATCTTGATCTGCATGGCTAGTTTACTGAAGGAGATGATCGAGAGGGAGGAGGTTAGGAAGGAGAAGGAGGTAGTAGCAGGTATGGAGAACACGGGTGATCTGGAGAAGGGGGAGTGCAGCAGGCTGAATCAGGCGAAGGAGGCGGATGCTAGGGAAGAGATGGGAGGTGAGGGAGATGGTTTGAGGGAAACCAATCTAGACGAAGAGGAGCTCGGTGATTCGTATGGACCGAAGGCCGATCTGGAAGATCAGTTTGCGGGGATGCATCTGCATGGGGAGGAAGAAGACGGTCTGGATCTGTCCGAGAAAGTGGACGAGCTGATCAAGGGAGTTCGTTGGCTAGGGCTCTTCCGTGTTCATACCACAAAGCCCTTCAACCATTCTGCATTGTTGAGGCAGATGAGGAACACGTGGGCTTCGGTGCAAGGAGTAAATTTCAATGTGAAGGGGCCAAACCTATTTTTGGTTCAGTGCCATTGCCTAGGCAATTGGAAAAGGATCATGGCAGGCGGCCCATGGATCTTCCGCAACTCGGCTCCTGTTGTCATACAGGAGTACGATGGATTCACAGATGTTTCAGAGTACAAATTAAACAAGATTCCACTCTGGACTAGGATCAAAGGGCTCCCGGATGGTCTAACAACGAAGAAGGCATTAGCTGAAAAGGTCGCGGCTAAAGTAGGAGAGCCACCGTTCACTGTTATCGTGAACGAAGGAAAAATCAACCCTTCAAGCACCTTACGAGTCAGAGTTTATGTGGATGTCAATAAACCTTTGGTTCGTTTTGTCCCGATTACACTGAAAGAGCATAAGAAATATCCGGTTTACTATGAAAGGCTGCCCGAATTCTGTTTCTTTTGCGGTCTTATGGGGCACTCGGTGGAGGAATGTGGCGATGGGATTCATGACCCTCGCACCTGTGAATGGGGGAGTTGGCTGCTATGGAACGGTGATCCGGTGAGGTATGCAATGGGAGGAAGGGGTATGGATGGAGGGGGTAGAGGAGGAAGGGCAGGGGCAGAGGTGCTAGAGGCGGTAGGCAAGAGAGAGGAGAGGGTAATGAGGGAAGGGGAAGTGAGGAATATGACTGGGAGACTGCTTCTGCAAGTCACCACTCGGGGGACGAGAACAGAATAGCACGCAAGAGGCTGGTATCTTCCGACGACACTGTCAATATCCATGGGCAAAACCTCCCTAATCTCGCAGGGAAGGTGGCCGATGCAGTTTTGTGCTTGGAGAATGGACCAGGCACTACTTCCACGGGTGCTACACCGACAACCCCGGGGAAGGTTCCTATTGTGAAGCGTCGGAAGCAAGATGGGAAAGAAGGTGGGGAAGGCATGGAGTTGTCATCTCAGGCGGCCTCCGACGGGGAGGACCGCCGAGCACAATGAGGACCCTTTGTTGGAACTGTCGTGGGATTGGCGATCCCGCGACAGTTCGAGAGCTCCGCGATCTCGTGGAGGCTTGTGCACCGACGGTACTCTGCATTGTTGGGACACAGCTTGCGAAGTACAGGGTGGAAGGTCTGGCAGGTAGCTTAGGTTTTTCTAGTAGCTTTGGAGTACCGAGTAGTGGTCGAAAT